CGCAGCCCCGACCCCCTCAGCACCGAGGTAGTCAACAGCAGCAGTAGATGCAATGGAGGGGAGGAGGGGGACGGGGGAGCACCCCTCAAAGAAGGGGGCGCGAGGGCCGCCACGAGAGGCACCTACAGCTACAATGCTCTTCTCAGCTGCTAGGAGTTCCTTCTCGAGCAGGTCGACAGTGAGGTCGGTAGGGGAGAGGGCAAGAAAGTGGTCCCTGACAGTGCGAAGGGAGTCAGGGAGGCAGGTGACTAGGTGATAAAGTGTGAGGTACATCGGGGGAGGGTTCTTGGCTAGGAAATCGGGGGGAAGCGCGGCAGGGTAGCGAAGATCACTAGTACGGAGGTGCGTGATGAGGTCAGCTACAATGGCAAAAGCAGACAGATCGGGGAAGAGATAGGGCAGTGAGAGACGGCCTATCGCAGCAGTAGCAGGGGAGGAATAGCGTGCAACTACAGCGTCGTACAGCTCCTTAGCGGTCTTATGCTGGCCAAAGTGCTCGCGCTCATCAAACGGTAGGTGGCTGCGAACGGCTAGGCAAGCATGAGCGTCACGGGTCTGCCACTGTGAGCGAGCAGTGCTGTCAGCAGTAGCAGCAGGTGCGGGAGCGGCGCCAGACGTGTGGTCAAACAGGGAAACATCGTCCTTGGCAGTGATCTGGAGGAACAGGTGCAGGTCATCGAGCCAAACGTCAAACTTAATCGGACGGCCCTCAGAGTCAAACGTGAGAACGGTAGGACTAGCCATAGTGGCAGTAGCAGTAGCAGCAGTAGCAGTAGCAGCAGTAGCAGTAGTAGCAGTAGCAGTAGCAGTAGTAGCAGTAAGAGCAGTAGCAGTAGCAGCTGGAACAGTAACAGCAGTTGCTGCAGGTGGGGCGGCGCGGCTCGGTCAGGGCGGCGCGACTCGGGCGGCGTGACTCGGGCGGCGCGGCTCGGGCAGGTAGGGCGGCGCGACGGCGGGCCTATGCACGGTGCGCGGCGGCGCCTAGGGTGCGGCTGCGCGCGGGCCGCGGCTGCGTTCGTGCGGCGGCTAAGTGCTAGCTGCAGCAGCCGAAGCGCGATCGCCGCTGCGCGCGGGCTGCGACCTGCGGGCGGGCGGCGGTGGGTCGAGCGTCGGCCTAGGGGCAAGCGGGGCCTACGGGCGACGGCCTGCTGGGGCTCGCGAGAAAAAAATTGGGCCGCCCTAGGCGGCTAACGAGCTACTCGCGCTAAAAACGCGGGGCCGCGCTCGGGCTGCTAGCGGGCTGCAAACGAGCAGCGTGAGAGGAGGGCGCGCGAGGGCGCACTAGGAGAGAGGCGTACGAGGGCGCTAAGACAGTAGGGCACACGAGGGCACCTCTAGCGGAGCGGTGGGCCCTTAGGTAATCGGTCCAAGGTCACTAACCTAGGCTCTTAATACCTTGTCAGAATGAGAAGTGGTTCCACTAGGTCAAGTGTGGGGTACAAGTAGGAAACCCTAAAGTTATCATACCCCATAGTATCTACCCCACTACCGCCTAAACGAACTAAAGCAGTTATAACATTTGACATCGCTGTACTGTCGGCTGTGCCCCCGGTTCTAGTTCTATCCTGTGGTCGTGCGGTCGTTGAGGTGGTAGTCCTGTCGGTAGGTCGTCCGGGAAAATGTCACTGTACTGCTTCAACAGTGCTGCCAGATCACTCGGTACGTCGGCTAGCAGTTTCTGTAAATCCCCTCCTTTGTCTGCTGCCTTGGCTTCCCGGATGTCAACTATGTACATGTCAGCTCCTGCCGCTACGGCGCATTTCATCGTGATCGCGTTGACACGCACCGACGAAGACTCAGGCGATCCCCAGCGAGGTAAGGCGATGTTGTTACCGTTTACTCGCACAGTGCAGTCACCCGTCGTCCAGTCGATTCGCGGATTGTGTCGTCGCAGCCAATCACGCCCGAGTAAAATGTCGGTTCCGTCGAGGGTCGTTGCGAGCATTTCCTGGCTAAACGTGAAGTTACCCCCACATCGAATCTGAACTCGGTCCACACGTTCCCGTATTGCTAGTGGCGTGTCGTCGACCAGTCTTGCATCGATCTCAGGTAAACATCTGTCCAGTGGCAGTCGCACTTTTCGTGCTGTGGTAGTGTTGATAAGGCTGTGGCTGGCCCCTCCGTCTACGAGGATTTACTATATCCGTCTCGATTTTCCCACTAAGCAGTATAGGGCTGTCTACCGTGGTACCCTCCTTATTCGGCCGGGTGTGGTCGATTGCGTGAACCGGCACAATCACTCGGTGAGGGTCGGTTGGGTCGGGCGAGCGGCGTGACCTGTCAGTAGAGGGCCCGTCTTCTACTGACTCCCAGCGTTTCCCTGCTGCTTGGTCTGTTTCTGCTGCTCAGCTTCCCCCTTTCCCTTAGCATTTTCCGGGCATTCGCTCTTACGGTGTCCCGGCCGATTGCACGCAAAGCAGCGCCCTTTGAACGGTGCGGCAGCGGCATTTGCGGCGACGGCACGTATCGTAGCGCTCTCGTTTATCCCGCGAGGCCGATGTCCCCGATTGCTGCTTTCGTAGGACCCCGGTCTCGGTCGGCGGAAGAAATTGAGTTTCTCCGCCATGGCGAGAATCTCCTGAAAATCGGTGACGCCGCGAAGCTAGATTTCATGAGCGATGCCCTGCTTCAGGCCGCCGATGTAGCGGTCGATGCGTTCGCTCTCGTGCATATATCCCACTTGCTCGCATCGCGCCAGAAACCCGCTCGTGTAGTCTTGGACGGAACCGAGTTGGCGCGAAGTGCGGAGCCTCTGTCGCGCCGCGATCGAAGCCGCGATTGGCTCGAAACGAGCGCGCAGACCTGCGCACCACGCGTCCCACGTGCGATACTGGGGCACCTCCACGAAATACGACGGCGCCCAGGGTCCGATTTGTCCTTCCCGTGTCGGTAGAGTCGCGTAGTCCACCGGCTTCGTGACGATGACACGCCACCAGTCCATGGCGGGTCCTCGCAGCAACGACATGGCGTAGCGAATCTTCGTCGTATCTTCCAAGACGTAGTTCGCGTCGAAGATAACATTCAACGTGAAGAGCCACGCCTGAACGGTAGGACCACCCCGCTGACTTGGGTCAAAGCATGGCGGACGCTGCGGCTTCAGCGGCATCGGCGACGGTAAAGCTGTTTCGCCGGCCGGCACTGAAATCTGACTCGAGGCTGATTCCTGGCCGCATTCGTCGCGTCGGGGTGTGTCGTGCCGTGGTCGTCGTCTCCGTCATGGCGGACGACGCCATCACTTGCGGCGCTCGCGGGTTGCCCCACACTTCCGTGTTGCGATGTCTGTGGTGCGGGCTGAATCGGAGTGCCAGGTGCTTGGGATTGTGCTCGTGCGAGGTCATTTTGCAGGGAGGTACGTTCCGCCGTTAATGCCGCGATTTCTTCGGAGTTTTCGTGCAGTTGTCGCAGCAGCTCGTCCAGGCGGTCCTCCGTGAGGTTAGTGACGTCAATATGCTCTGCCATTCCGATGGGCGTCGGCTCGTCTTGGTCTAGGCACAGTCGTGGCTGCACGCGTTTACGAGAGAACGCGAGGACAGCGGCTCCTAGGTGCTAAGGTGCGTGAGTCCCTTCGAGTGAAAAGTCAAAAGTTGATTTCATGGGGTGTGGAGATGCGCGGTCCGAAAAGGAAAGAGGCTCTGAATACCAAGTGTTACGGGTGCAATGAATCGAAGTATCGAGAATTGCACTAAGGTGTCAAACGAGTACAAAATGTGAGCGAAGGCATGAGCGAACATTTATACGCGAAACATGCAAGCTAGTGCTATGCTGGAAGCGTGGGCCGATACGGCGAGGCCAGCAGTGCGAGGTTTTGTGAAACAGTGCGCGCGAAGTCGGCGAAGCCCCGTTAGCAGTAACGGGCGAACAAAGGCTGCTGCTGTACGCGATGTTGCAGGGCGTGCTAAGGAATATCGAGAAAATCCCTTACAGAAAGAGTATTATGTATACATAGTACATGAGAGATAATCATGTCAGCAGTATGTACCTCCAGGTTGCTATGAGTGAACACCTTCAAGGCCATCCGATACGTTGAATTTGGACAGCCCAAATCCCAAGAAATGGCGGGAAATTGGTCTTTCCTAGCACACGAGAGCCCTTTCGCGATTCTAGTTCCTCGCGTCCGGCCGCCCCACAAATCGGAATTCTCTGAGCTCTCGTTCACCAAGGCACTTGGTCGCACGGTCGCCTCGATAGATGAGACGCGCTGGTAGAATCTGGGGATGTAGGCTGGTCCCACCTCGAAGCACATCATAGCTGACTGTAACATCTCAGAAAGCGCATTCTCTTAGAGGCTCGTTGCGTCGGAGTAATTCCCTTCGACGCGCCGAGCAGTAGTCTGATCACCACAGTCCCGGCAACCAGCAGCTGGTAACCAGGAACACCATTACGAGCGATGTCGGTGGAGTGTCCAGTACCGGGGGAGCTACCGGGCGACGAGGTAGTAGACAGCAGGGCGGACGGGGGAATAACGGCGGGGGGAGCGGACGGGAAAGACGGTGCGCGGAGCGCGACGGCGGGTAGCCGGAAGACGAGTCTGTCGTCGCGCGGCGCGCGCGCTCTGGTGCCGTTCTCGCCGTACATCAATGCGGTCAACAAGGCCAAGGAGGAGCCCTACTCGGAAAAAACGCCTGATGGATACTTTCTGGTCGGTGGGATTTTGTTTTCCAGAATTTTTTCATCCGGCCGGGTTTCATGCAATGTTAAGGCGACTTAAGAGCCTTACTCGGATAAAACGCCTGATGGATTCTTTCTTGTCGGTGGACCTCGTTTCCGGGAAGAGTTGATCCGGTCGAGTCTGTTTCTGAAAGGCCTCTTATTCAAAGTTTTGCAAGGATTCGATAGGGAGGGCCAATTTGTGAGGGTTTGAGTCCTCTGTGGTACAAATTCAGGTCCTTAGTTTTTTTTTTTTTTTTTTTTTTTTTTTCAGTTTAATGCAACCTGCGTTGTTGAATACCGCCACTGCTTTTTGCTGTTTTTTTACATTTTCTTCTCTCGCCCGTTCGTAGATGGCACAAGCAGAGACTGTCCTGACGTTCGACTTGATCCATGAGAAAATCAAGTAAGTCAGCCTCGGAACATCATACTTCCTTTCCCTTCAGAGTCTTGAGTATCGTCGTCCCCTTTTCACTTCTGTGTCATTTGTATTCTCTCCCTTCGCATCAAAGGCCTCGAGTTTTTTTCACATTTCCTGACCTCATTCTTTCAAGCGTGTGCTTTTTCGACATTTCTTGAGTATTTTCTCCATATTTTTCGGATAATGTATCCAGATTTCTGTTGTATTTTCCATGATTCTTGAATTTTATTTCCACATCAGTCCGCTCCATTGTATCACCCAACTAGCACCTGCGAAAAAACCCCTCCCTAATTCGATTGACGTTACGTCACCCATCTAGCACCAGCAAAAAACCTCTTCCCCATTTCTAAAACATGACGACACCTTACCCAACTGGCACCAGCAAAAACCCTCTACCCCGTTTTAATGTCTACCTGGTCAGCATATCTTGTCCTCTCCACCACCTATGCCCCACACGAGCTGCAGAAAGTTGCCAAGGCATATCTTCTGTGACTTCTGAGTTGACTCCAATTCCCCTTTCACCTGTCCGGCGAATCTTGTCCGTTTCTGTGCCTTACGCCCCACAGGAGCTGCAGGGAGGTCCTGTCGACGATAGGGCTGTACGGCAACTTCAGTGGCGGGCAGCGGCTGAGGCAGGCCATTGCCAACATGATGTGACTCTTGAATCGACTCAAAATTCACCTCTCACCTGGCCGGCATATCTTGTCCTTTTCCATGCCCGAAACCCCACAGGAGCTGCAGGGAGGTGCCATCGACCATCGGGCTGTACGGCAACTTCAGGGGAGGGCAGAGGCTGAGACAGGCCATTGCCAACATGATGCAGCGCACGTTCATGGGCGTGGATGTGGACCCTCTTCACATCTGCATCTCCAGTGGGGTCACCGCGTGAGTGGGGCATGGCATGGGTGGAGCACTGTGTGAGTGGGGTTATCATAAGAGTGGGGCACTGCATTGGGTTACCATGTGAGTGTTGTGTATGAAATTGAGCCTATATGATGCAGCGCACGTTCATGGGCGTGGATGTGGATCCGCTGCACATCTGCATCTCCAGTGGGGTCACTGCATGAGTGGGGTTATTGTGTGAGTGGGTTTATCATACGAGTGCGCCGTGGCGCAAACCTTGGGGTTGCCTCATGAGCGTGTGTACAGCCAACATGATGCAGCGCACATTCATGGGCGTGGATGTGGATCTCCGTCTGCATCTCCAGTGGGGTCACTGCATGAGTGGTGCATGGCATGGGTGGATCACTGCGTGACTGCGAATCTCCGAGTCGGTTTATCAACATGGGTGCTACAGTGGGTTCTCGTGTGAGTGATGGTGTGGGTTTACCGTGTGAGTGATGGTGTGGGTTTACCGTGTGAGTGATGGTGTGGGTTTACCGTGTGAGTGATGGTGTGGGTTTACCGTGTGAGTGATGGTGTGGGTTTACCGTGTGAGTGATGGTGTGGGTTTACCGTGTGAGTGTTGTGCCGGCCGCAACCACCTGCGATTCCCCTCCCCTCATTCTTCTCTCTCACCCCGCCCCCTCCCCACCCCAACCACCCCCACCAGCGTGTTGGATCTTTTCTTCTTCGCCACCTGCTGTGCAGGCGAAGACTGCTTCATCCCCCGTCCCGCAGCATCTCTCTCCCCTCTTCCCTCACCTCTCCTCTCCTCTCTCCCCCCCTCGCCCCCCCTCCCTCCCTGCCCCCCACCAGCGTGTTAGATCCTTTGCCACGTGCAGTGCAGCAGGCGAGGGCTGCTTCATCCCCCCCCTCTTCTTCCCTCTCCACAATCTCTCTCCCCCATTCACCTCCTCCCCTTCCCCTCTCCCCCTTCTCTCCCTTCTCCCAACCACCAGCGTGTTGGATCTGTTCTTCTTTGCCACGTGCAGTGCGGGCGAGGGCTGCTTCATCCCCGCGCCCTACTTCCCTGCCTTTGACAATGACATGAGCATTCGGGTATGGAGGGAGGGGCGTAGGGGTGTGTGCATGAAATCAAGAATGAATATCAATGTACGCTGCTTCACCCCCACACGCTACTTCTCTGTGTTTGACAATAACATGAGCATCATGGAAGGGGATTGTCCGTACCCTCACGGACAAAGTTGGTTGATCATGAGGGTAGGGAGCTGAGGGTATGAAACAGCATCTGGGTAGCAGGTAAAGGCGTGAGGATGAGGGCATGGATTATTTAAGGGCATGAGCTTCCATGTGAGCTGCTTCCATGTAAGCTGCTTCATCCGCGCACCCGCCCCTTTTTCCTCACCAGAACGAGGTGGTGCCCATCCCCATTCAGACTCAGAACACGTGCAGCTAGGTGACTTTTGAGTCGACTCAAAAGTCACCTCAGACTCAGGACACGTGCAGCTACATCCCCACCGCCCTTGAGACGGAAGAGGCCTTCATTGCTGCACAGGCAAGGGGTGTTCTGAGTCGACACAAGATGAACAGATGCAACTGAATTCACCCTCTCTCCCCTCGCCCTCTCTCCTCCCTTCACCAGAACAGCATGGTACCCATCCCCATCCAGCCGCGGGACACGCGCAGCTACATACCCACCACCCTTGAGATGCACTGCCGCAGCGCTCATGCCAGAGGTGACCTGGGTCCAACCAAAAGCACACATGCAAGTGAACTCTCAGAGTCCCCTCATCTCCCACCCTCTCCCTATCAGAACGAGGTGATACCCATCCCCATCCAGCCGCGGGACACGCGCAGCTACATCCCCACCACTGAGGAGATGGAGGAGGCCTTCACCGCCGCACAGGCCAGGGGCATTCGCCCGCGCGTGATGCTGCTCACCAACCCCGGCAACCCCCTCGGCACGCTCTACCCTGAAGCCACCCTCAAGGTGAGCCCAGTATTGTTTTGTTTGCATGTTGTTGTGGGGACCACTGCTGCCCAGCACTGGTGTCACGTCAACCACTCTCAAAGCGTGCGTGCTGCTGCTCACCAACCCCGGCAACCCCCTCGGCACGCTCTACCCTGAAGCCACCCTCAAGGTGCGTCACTGGTTTTTCTCATCATGTTGTGGGTGGGGACCACTGAGGCTATTGTGGGGACCACTGAGGCTATTGTGGGGACCACTGAGGCTATTGTGGGGACCACTGAGGCTATTGTGGGGACCACTGAGGCTATTGTGGGGACCACTGAGGCTGTTGTGGGGACCAATGAGGCTATTGTGGGGACCACTGAGGCTATTGACCACTGACGCTGCTGAAATCACTGGCGTCATTGCAAACCGCACGTGCCCGGCAACCCCCTCGGCGCACTCTACCCTGAAGCCACTCTCAAGGTGGTCACTGGTTGTCCTAAAACAACACGAGTTGAAAGTAAGGCCTCCGTAGCCCACCTGTCCTCTTTTGACAGCTCCCGCACGTGCCCGGCAACCCCCTCGGCGCACTCTACCCTGAAGCCACTCTCAAGGTGGTTCACTCACTGGTCCTTTCTCATCTTGCAGTCTCGTTCTGCAAGCCATGCATGCATGCACGCACTCCCTCAGTAACAAACAACCTGCGCATCTGCTGTATCCTTCTTTTCCCTATGCACACATGCACGCAACCACCCACACGTGCATCCATGCAGGAGCTACTGCTGTGGGCGATCAACCACGAGCTGCATGTGCTGTCTGTCGGTGTAACCATGCACGCACACCCTCTCATTGAACGAGCCGCACACCTGTCTTCTGCACATCCCTCTTCGCCCCACCCGCACATCCCTCTTCGCCCCACCCGCACATCCCTCTTCGCCCCACCCGCACATCCCTCTTCGCCCCACCCGCACATCCCTCCATGCAGGAGCTACTGCTGTGGGCAATCAACCACGAGCTGCATGTGCTGTCAGACGAGATCTACGCCAACTCCAAGTTCGGGTGAGCCTGAGTGAGCCTCGTGTTGATTGTGCACGCACTTGTGTGCTCTCTGGGCTATCTGTGCTGCTGTGGGTGATCAACCACTAGCTGCAAGTGCTGTCAGACGAGATCTCCGCCAACTCCAAGTTCGGGTGAGCCTGAGTGAGCCTGAGTGAGCAGCCTCGCTTTCTCTCTTGCACACGCACCTTTTCTCTTGCACACGCGACTTCTCTCTTGCACATGCACCTCTGGGCTTTTTGGGTTCCGCTAGCCATCTGGGCTGCCATTCCATCCACAAGCTGCACGTGCTTTTGAGTCGACTCAAAAGCGTTATCAGACGGATTCTGTGCCAACTCCAACTTCGGTTGAGCCTCCCTCTGCTTGTGCACACACTTTTGGCCTCTCTGCCCTCTCAATCCCCCCCCCCCCCCCCCCTCCTTCCCTTCATTCCACCCTCCCTCATTCTCCGCTCCCCTCGTTCCCCCCTCCCCCAATTCCCCTTCCGCCTCTCCCCCGCTCTCCTGCATCCAGCTCCTCAGCGTCGGAATTCGTGAGCAAAAAGAAGGTGGCAGGCGAGTCACCTGGTGGTGGAGGGGCGGTTTTTTTTATTCATGCACACGCATCTTCCCGTCTTCTATCCTTCCACACACCCCTTTTCCCCCTCCCCACCTGCTGTAAATCCAGGTCATCAGCCTCGGAGTTCGTGAGCATAGAGAAGGTGGCGGGTCACCTAGTGGCGGAGGGGAGGTTACCACAAGCACTGGCAGAGGAGCGAGTGCACACGGCGTACGGCATGAGCAAGGACTTTGCTTTCTCCTCACTTCCCTCTCCCCGCCTCCCCCCCTGTCCTCTTTCCCTGCTCTCTCTGCAGCTCATCAGCGTCTGAGTTCGTGAGCATAGAGAAGGTGGCGGGTCACCTAGTGGCGGAGGGGAGGTTACCACAAGCACTGGCAGAGGAGCGAGTGCACACGGCGTACGGCATGAGCAAGGACTTTGCTTTCTCCTCACTTCCCTCTCCCCGCCTCCCCCCCTGTCCTCTTTCCCTGCTCTCTCTGCAGCTCATCAGCGTCTGAGTTCGTGAGCATAGAGAAGGTGGCGGGTCACCTAGTGGCGGAGGGGAGGTTACCACAAGCACTGGCAGAGGAGCGAGTGCACACGGCGTACGGCATGAGCAAGGACTTTGCTTTCTCCTCACTTCCCTCTCCCCGCCTCCCCCCCTGTCCTCTTTCCCTGCTCTCTCTGCAGCTCATCAGCGTCTGAGTTCGTGAGCATAGAGAAGGTGGCGGGTCACCTAGTGGCGGAGGGGAGGTTACCACAAGCACTGGCAGAGGAGCGAGTGCACACGGCGTACGGCATGAGCAAGGACTTTGCTTTCTCCTCACTTCCCTCTCCCCGCCTCCCCCCCTGTCCTCTTTCCCTGCTCTCTCTGCAGCTCATCAGCGTCTGAGTTCGTGAGCATAGAGAAGGTGGCGGGTCACCTAGTGGCGGAGGGGAGGTTACCACAAGCACTGGCAGAGGAGCGAGTGCACACGGCGTACGGCATGAGCAAGGACTTTGCTTTCTCCTCACTTCCCTCTCCCCGCCTCCCCCCCTGTCCTCTTTCCCTGCTCTCTCTGCAGCTCATCAGCGTCTGAGTTCGTGAGCATAGAGAAGGTGGCGGGTCACCTAGTGGCGGAGGGGAGGTTACCACAAGCACTGGCAGAGGAGCGAGTGCACACGGCGTACGGCATGAGCAAGGACTTTGCTTTCTCCTCACTTCCCTCTCCCCGCCTCCCCCCCTGTCCTCTTTCCCTGCTCTCTCTGCAGCTCATCAGCGTCTGAGTTCGTGAGCATAGAGAAGGTGGCGGGTCACCTAGTGGCGGAGGGGAGGTTACCACAAGCACTGGCAGAGGAGCGAGTGCACACGGCGTACGGCATGAGCAAGGACTTTGCTTTCTCCTCACTTCCCTCTCCCCGCCTCCCCCCCTGTCCTCTTTCCCTGCTCTCTCTGCAGCTCATCAGCGTCTGAGTTCGTGAGCATAGAGAAGGTGGCGGGTCACCTAGTGGCGGAGGGGAGGTTACCACAAGCACTGGCAGAGGAGCGAGTGCACACGGCGTACGGCATGAGCAAGGACTTTGCTTTCTCCTCACTTCCCTCTCCCCGCCTCCCCCCCTGTCCTCTTTCCCTGCTCTCTCTGCAGCTCATCAGCGTCTGAGTTCGTGAGCATAGAGAAGGTGGCGGGTCACCTAGTGGCGGAGGGGAGGTTACCACAAGCACTGGCAGAGGAGCGAGTGCACACGGCGTACGGCATGAGCAAGGACTTTGCTTTCTCCTCACTTCCCTCTCCCCGCCTCCCCCCCTGTCCTCTTTCCCTGCTCTCTCTGCAGCTCATCAGCGTCTGAGTTCGTGAGCATAGAGAAGGTGGCGGGTCACCTAGTGGCGGAGGGGAGGTTACCACAAGCACTGGCAGAGGAGCGAGTGCACACGGCGTACGGCATGAGCAAGGACTTTGCTTTCTCCTCACTTCCCTCTCCCCGCCTCCCCCCCTGTCCTCTTTCCCTGCTCTCTCTGCAGCTCATCAGCGTCTGAGTTCGTGAGCATAGAGAAGGTGGCGGGTCACCTAGTGGCGGAGGGGAGGTTACCACAAGCACTGGCAGAGGAGCGAGTGCACACGGCGTACGGCATGAGCAAGGACTTTGCTTTCTCCTCACTTCCCTCTCCCCGCCTCCCCCCCTGTCCTCTTTCCCTGCTCTCTCTGCAGCTCATCAGCGTCTGAGTTCGTGAGCATAGAGAAGGTGGCGGGTCACCTAGTGGCGGAGGGGAGGTTACCACAAGCACTGGCAGAGGAGCGAGTGCACACGGCGTACGGCATGAGCAAGGACTTTGCTTTCTCCTCACTTCCCTCTCCCCGCCTCCCCCCCTGTCCTCTTTCCCTGCTCTCTCTGCAGCTCATCAGCGTCTGAGTTCGTGAGCATAGAGAAGGTGGCGGGTCACCTAGTGGCGGAGGGGAGGTTACCACAAGCACTGGCAGAGGAGCGAGTGCACACGGCGTACGGCATGAGCAAGGACTTTGCTTTCTCCTCACTTCCCTCTCCCCGCCTCCCCCCCTGTCCTCTTTCCCTGCTCTCTCTGCAGCTCATCAGCGTCTGAGTTCGTGAGCATAGAGAAGGTGGCGGGTCACCTAGTGGCGGAGGGGAGGTTACCACAAGCACTGGCAGAGGAGCGAGTGCACACGGCGTACGGCATGAGCAAGGACTTTGCTTTCTCCTCACTTCCCTCTCCCCGCCTCCCCCCCTGTCCTCTTTCCCTGCTCTCTCTGCAGCTCATCAGCGTCTGAGTTCGTGAGCATAGAGAAGGTGGCGGGTCACCTAGTGGCGGAGGGGAGGTTACCACAAGCACTGGCAGAGGAGCGAGTGCACACGGCGTACGGCATGAGCAAGGACTTTGCTTTCTCCTCACTTCCCTCTCCCCGCCTCCCCCCCTGTCCTCTTTCCCTGCTCTCTCTGCAGCTCATCAGCGTCTGAGTTCGTGAGCATAGAGAAGGTGGCGGGTCACCTAGTGGCGGAGGGGAGGTTACCACAAGCACTGGCAGAGGAGCGAGTGCACACGGCGTACGGCATGAGCAAGGACTTTGCTTTCTCCTCACTTCCCTCTCCCCGCCTCCCCCCCTGTCCTCTTTCCCTGCTCTCTCTGCAGCTCATCAGCGTCTGAGTTCGTGAGCATAGAGAAGGTGGCGGGTCACCTAGTGGCGGAGGGGAGGTTACCACAAGCACTGGCAGAGGAGCGAGTGCACACGGCGTACGGCATGAGCAAGGACTTTGCTTTCTCCTCACTTCCCTCTCCCCGCCTCCCCCCCTGTCCTCTTTCCCTGCTCTCTCTGCAGCTCATCAGCGTCTGAGTTCGTGAGCATAGAGAAGGTGGCGGGTCACCTAGTGGCGGAGGGGAGGTTACCACAAGCACTGGCAGAGGAGCGAGTGCACACGGCGTACGGCATGAGCAAGGACTTTGCTTTCTCCTCACTTCCCTCTCCCCGCCTCCCCCCCTGTCCTCTTTCCCTGCTCTCTCTGCAGCTCATCAGCGTCTGAGTTCGTGAGCATAGAGAAGGTGGCGGGTCACCTAGTGGCGGAGGGGAGGTTACCACAAGCACTGGCAGAGGAGCGAGTGCACACGGCGTACGGCATGAGCAAGGACTTTGCTTTCTCCTCACTTCCCTCTCCCCGCCTCCCCCCCTGTCCTCTTTCCCTGCTCTCTCTGCAGCTCATCAGCGTCTGAGTTCGTGAGCATAGAGAAGGTGGCGGGTCACCTAGTGGCGGAGGGGAGGTTACCACAAGCACTGGCAGAGGAGCGAGTGCACACGGCGTACGGCATGAGCAAGGACTTTGCTTTCTCCTCACTTCCCTCTCCCCGCCTCCCCCCCTGTCCTCTTTCCCTGCTCTCTCTGCAGCTCATCAGCGTCTGAGTTCGTGAGCATAGAGAAGGTGGCGGGTCACCTAGTGGCGGAGGGGAGGTTACCACAAGCACTGGCAGAGGAGCGAGTGCACACGGCGTACGGCATGAGCAAGGACTTTGCTTTCTCCTCACTTCCCTCTCCCCGCCTCCCCCCCTGTCCTCTTTCCCTGCTCTCTCTGCAGCTCATCAGCGTCTGAGTTCGTGAGCATAGAGAAGGTGGCGGGTCACCTAGTGGCGGAGGGGAGGTTACCACAAGCACTGGCAGAGGAGCGAGTGCACACGGCGTACGGCATGAGCAAGGACTTTGCTTTCTCCTCACTTCCCTCTCCCCGCCTCCCCCCCTGTCCTCTTTCCCTGCTCTCTCTGCAGCTCATCAGCGTCTGAGTTCGTGAGCATAGAGAAGGTGGCGGGTCACCTAGTGGCGGAGGGGAGGTTACCACAAGCACTGGCAGAGGAGCGAGTGCACACGGCGTACGGCATGAGCAAGGACTTTGCTTTCTCCTCACTTCCCTCTCCCCGCCTCCCCCCCTGTCCTCTTTCCCTGCTCTCTCTGCAGCTCATCAGCGTCTGAGTTCGTGAGCATAGAGAAGGT